AAAAGATATAAAGATATAAAAATTTTTTATTTATAAATTTTTTATATATATATTATTTATATTAATTTATTTTTTATTATTTATTTATTATTTATTTATTAATTTATTATTTATATTATTATTTTTTTTAAACACTCAAACATTAATGTGTGACTAAAATGTGACATTTTCATCTGCAGCCAAAGAAAAAATAAAAAATTAGTAAGAAAAAATAATAAAAAAACAACAAAAAAAAAAATTTCATACCTCTTACATATTTCCTTGTTCAATATTTCCTTGCTCACTCCTTACTAAATTGCTATAAAAGAGGATTTTTCTTCTATTAGTAAGGTCATATTGGTGCATATTGTTTTGCGCCAGCAATCACCCTTGATCACCCTTAGCAAGAAAATTCCTTTGAGCAAAAATACAGCAAAAATACAGAGAAGAATTGGTGAAATAGTCATGATGATGACTTGCATTACGCGAGTTTTAAAAAATCAGCTTCTATTTTGCCAGATAATTGCCAAATAATGTTTTGCCAATTAGCTTGTTCTATCTATAAATGGTGAAAAAAATTTGCTGATAGTTTTTATTCGCTAAAGATTTAATGGTTGATATTAAAGGAGAATCGATATTCCTTGCAGCGAAGACTCTTTGAGGGAAAAGGAAATTTCCCTGAAGAATATCACTGCTGCTGATAGTGCTTTGCTTCGGTAGGATGGGCTCATGGGTTCTTTTATTTGAAAAGGGCCAAGTGCATTCGCTGTGCTTTAAATAATTCGTTGAAAACTTGCGAGAAATCTCACTGATCCCTCCTTACGTTGCCTAGTTAGAGCAGTTAATAAGATAAGAAGGAGTGCTCGCACTGATAGGTTATTTGGACCTCTTCGCACGAGGATGATGATACACTCGTTTGCGCTTGCATAACGAAGTACGTTGACTGTCAATCGAACAGACGATATCTTCGACTCAGTTGATAATTAACTGATGTTCCAGAACGAGATAGCCTATTCGACAGATTTTTATGGTAAGTTCAGCGAAATCCAACCGCAAGAAGATGAACTTAGCTATTAAAACTTCCTTTTTATAGGTGCAACTTAAAGAATTTCGTAAAGAATCTCCAGTTTTCGAACCTTCTCCGTAGGAAAAATTGACGGAGATATTTTGAATCGCTGCACTTCAGCACTTGGAGGCATCCTTGGCTGACTTTAATGCTGATGTCCTTATTTATTAACATGAAAAATGAAAACACCTAACTGAATTTTAGCTCCATTTTCAAATAGTAACGAATTAGAATTAGCACGCAAGAAGAATAAATCAAATAATTAACAAACAATAAAAAGCAGAATTAGAATTATGAGCAAAATTTATAAAAAGTGGATGACTTCTGCCACCAACTTTTTCCGAACGGTGAAACGGCCATGGCAAAAAATTTCTTCTCCATTTCCCTTATCTCATTTAGCAGAACGGAACGTGAATTTAGTGCAATAACAAACCTGTTGGCGAAAAAGAGGAGTAAACTCCATAGAGCTGAACGTAGAGTTGGAGACTGAGATTGACAGAAACTGAGCAAATAACAGCACATCGGGCACGAATTTCTATTCATTTTCATTTGATTCTCTTCATGATTTTTATTTAATTTTGATTTTGATTGTTTCTTCTTTACTTTCAGTTTATGTGATTGGTTTTTGTGCTTTAATTTTTTATACCTTATGAAAGCTTAATAAATGTATTTTTTTAAATTAAATGGTTTTATTTTTTTAAAATAATTAACATTTTAAAAAAGTGGTTTTTTATTGCAATAAAACTTTTAAGTATACTAATAATTACAAGCAAATAGTATTAGGTATGGAATGTTTAATATCAGAGCTATTCTCTTCTAAAAACACACACTTAAAGAAGGGAAAAGATGGAGTGGGGACACGATGGACGAAATAAACCTAGGAAAACAGGCGGCAAGTGAAACGAAATAGAGAATCAACGTTCGATACGATTCGAATTTCTTTAAATTTTTCGTCATCTGTATGATTAGAATAACGCAACAATTTTAAATTTTTAATTAAATAATTTAAATTTTTACGTACGAAAAGCGACGTATAACACTGGAAATAAGATTGGTGTTTCCACCTCATTTTTATATTCAAATAAATTCACATGGGGGTAATAAATGGAGGAAAAAAGGACCAGAAAAGGTCTCCGATTGAAAAGTTATTTCAGATCGTAAGCATAGTTATAAATTAATAAAACTGACGGAATTTCAATTTGGTAATTTAATAAATCCGATTACTTCGATAAACTTCCATTTCTAAGTGATTCGATAGTAAAAAAGTACCACCCAAATATTCAGTTCAGTTACCAAAAAACTTAGGTGTGTTAGTTTGCAAGAGAAGACGAAGTGAATAAATATGAAAAATAATTCGCATGAAATTCTTTATCGCCACTTTAGTCTAAAATTTAATATATTTCTTGCAAAATCCTAAAATATAAAAATTTGTTAAAAAAGTCGTAAAACTACATAATAAATTGAAATAGGTAATTAAGTTCCACTGAAATTGATAAAATCTGTTGAGCCATTTATGATTAAAACTGAAAATTTTAAAAGTTAGGCTAACGGATGAACAAATGCTTGTTCTTATTTGTGTGCTACCATGGATAACCATTTACAATTTCTATGTTTAATGCAATAGCTTAAATAGTTTAGCCAATCATTAACCAGTCTATTGTCCTTTTGTCCTTTAAGGTCGAATAAAGCACAGCAATAATTTAGCTGTTTACCGACGAATGAACATGGTTTTTCTTTAAGTTATTTACCCAATTTCCAATCAAATAACAAAATATTCCGCTTAAATCGACAAATATTCTTCCAATATTTCATGTTTTAGACTTTCGTAACTGAACTACAATTCCTTGCCTTTAGTAAGGCCGAAGCGATATTAAATTTCTCTCTTTGTTGAATAAAACTATTTTAATAAATCATTTCGAATAAATTATAAGAAAGTAAAAAATAGATTAGACTTATGCAATCAGACACCTCATATCTCCATCTTTTCCCTTCTTTAAGTGTGTGTTTTTAGAAGAGAATAGCTCCGATATTAAACATTCCATACCTAATACTATTTGCTTGTAATTATTAGTATGTCATGCATACTAGCATACCACGCACGCTTTGCAACGAGGTCAAATGAACTAGGGTGAGGTTGCTCCGCAAGTACTCGTCAGAACTATGTCCATGATTCCTGTAAATGAATTGTAACTTCAGTTCTCAATGAAGAAAATGATGATACAACTCTTTTTATTTTTCTTACTTTTATGAAGCATAATATTTGGCCATCCATATTGTGATGTAATATAAAAGATATTTGTAAAGATGGCTAAATGTACATTTGGTTGAGAGTGGTCCACTTAAGTGATCTGCTTTTGCTACGCTATATAAATAATCGTACTGCATTGCAATTGTAGTAGAAAAAATATTTTATTAGTCAAAAATAATAATATAATAATAATATCATAATTTGTAAATCCAAAAAAACCTGACTTGCCTTTATTATATAAAAAATAATAATCAATTGCTGAAACACCAAAAAATGAACGCTGAGAAGAAGTGAGACACGAACGGTAAGTGTGGAGTTACAGGCGCATAGCCTGGGACAAGTTTAACGATAATTAATAAGAAGACTTCGATTCAGTTCTCTTCACTGTTAATATAATATAATAGTGAGAAATAACTGTGGTGGTTGAAGATTGAAAGTTGTGCCTTTATTTCCGCCTTCATGTTGCTTCAGGACTTTATTATGTCAACTTTGTCAGTCTTATCAACTTTGTGATAAGACTGATTGCAAAAGAGCGATCAGCTCTGTTGAAAAGTCAGAATGCTAGATGATCTGACCGAAATCATAGTTATTTTCACAGAAAATTTCTTACCAGTATTAACTTCTTTTGAAGAAATTAATATAAGCGCTGAAATTTCAATTTCTTCTTCGATGTTTCAGTTGTCAACGTGTACAAAGTATCGAAATTTTCAATGAATGACGAAACTAACTCATTCTCCAAACGCTTATTTTCAAGACGAATTGGCACAGAGGAATTCTATGGAATATATTCTGTAATTAAGCTAATCGACGCGGATGTCTTTGCTTGTTTTTCCGATTATTCCAAAATTTAAGTACTGTTTAACATCTATGAAGATTTTTTAAAAAAGAGAAATCCATCTTCCCTATATTATTTTAAATTCAAAGAATATTACCAGAAGTTCGGCAACACGCAACGTTCGAATTTTATGAAAATAATATATAGCTAAAATAAATTAAACCATACTAAAATTATAATTAATCGAAATTAACCTTTCTTAACGTAGTGGGTGGAAAAAACTGGATTCCTTTCCTGAAGAACTCGATATCTTCGTGAATGAGCTAATGTTTAACAAGAGGATCTGTTAATGAACCAAAAAAAAGTGATAACCAGTAGATGGCATCACGAGAGCACAAAATATTTAATAAAACTGATGCACCATCTCGGCGAAATTTTAACAGTGCTGGAGAGATTTACTACAGATCATATGATATCTACCAAATATACAAAAATACAAAAGTGCAAAAGCGTTGAATTTTCTCAGACTGGATAAAAATTTAAAACTTCATTTCGATCTATTTCAATCTAGCCTAATTGACTTAATCCGATTCTGCACTGTAAACCTTAAAAATTTTCTGTTTTTCATGTTTTATTGCCCAATGTACTTCATCATCGACTTCGGTCTTCAGTATTTTTATATGCTTTTGCTCTTCTTCAGATTTTCTATGTAAATAATTTATTACATCTTCTATAATTACATCAATTTTTCTAATAATTATATCGTAATTTTCTTTAATTAAATTATTAAATTTTGTATTATTAATCTTCGTTCTGCAACAATGCCCAAAAATTTGCGCAAGAAACCTTAAATTCTATTCATAACCAGCATATATTTAAACGATTTTGGTGTATATACCAACGACAAAATATATTTCGCAATTAAGACTTGTCTACTGTTTTTTAATCCATTCAATTTTCTTTTTAAGTTTTTCTGCGACCATTTTCATATCATCTCCTTTTTCTTCAGATATTACCTTTCGTTTGGCCTCAACCTAAATCATTTGTTAAAACATATTCAAAAAAAAAATGAATCCGATTTCACAAAATTCTTTGATTAAATGATTCAAAATGATATTAAATACCATTTATTCCAAAATTTCATAATCCTAACTAATGCGATTTAAAAAAAACATGCCAAGATATTTTAATGATCTTTATAAACAACACGTTGTGAATGAAAACTAACTTGTATATTTATTAGTTTCGTAACTTTATATAGCGGATTCGTCTGATCAATTGCAAAAGCACTGTTGGAATATAATGCAGAAAATCTGCAAAAAATAATTAGTTATAATAAAAATAATTAGTAAAAATAATTAGTTAAAATAAAAATCAAACAAAAATCGAAAAAAATACAAAATCTTCAGAAGAAAAAAAAATTCTTTGATAAAAAACCTTTTATCATCAATTAAATTATCATCCTCATTCGATCTGTTCAACGATTGTCTTTTTACAATAGAATTCGAATACTTCAGACATTCATTACCTTCTTGTATTTCAATCCTGCGATTCTTACGCATTTCAACTGCTAGCCTTTTTCGTTCCTTAGAAAAAATTGGTATTATATAAAAGCATTAGTTGCGAAAAAAAACTGACTTCGGTATATACAGTATAGTAATTGAATATAATAATGAATACAATTGTTTGGTAAAAAAATAAAATTAACCTTCCTCCTTTCTTTCCGTTTTTGTAGGTACGATTCCCATGGCGTTGGTGCAGAATTTTTTTTAACTTCAGCTTTAACAATATTCGCATCCATCGTATCGCCAGTTGGTGGTTCCCAAGTTATTTCCAATCCATTTACTGGTTTCAGTTCTCTTGAAAATTTTGCTTCATCCAACAAAAGTTTTATATTCTTACCATCGACTTCACTGTTTTCTTCATCAGATGAGCAAGGGGCTATAAGGGCATTCCTGCAATGAACAAAATAAACAGTATTTTCAAAATAGCTTAGAAAATAATAGATATTTTAAATTAAAATTAATTTATTAGTGAAGAACTACTGAAAATCATCTAAATCAGCAGCTGGATTAAAGGCTTCACGGATAATCTTGATACGCTGTGGATCATTCTCGTCCCATGTTAACTTCGTATTAGATTTTGATAAAGCATTCGTTTCAAATGTCTTTGGTTTGAACCTCTTTAGATCAACCATTTCTTCAGTAACACATTCTTTAACATCGCAGTCCTACGAAATAATTAAAGTAAGAAAAAATTCTCACTTCATATTTCACCAGTATCTACAAACGGGAATTTAACATAACCAATACTATCATCAGTTAAAAAATTAATACCAATAATTTTCAAAAATACTTGTAAAACCATCTCAGTTTTTTCAAGAATAATGGAAAAATATAGATATACAAAAGGATATACAAAAAGTAAGAAAAAGAGCAAAATAAATATTTTAACATTAAATAAGACCTCGAAACTTGTTTCATCAGACACAAATCGGAGATCTAAACGTACTGCGCTACTTTCGAATTCAATTCCATCACAAGAATCATATAAAACAGAAGCCGTTTTGGGTGAATCGCAGTCAATAATCGCATAATAATATCGCATACGTTCGAGCTGATAAGAACGAAACACCTCACGCGTTTTACTGCAAATCAAATTAAATTTAACCCAATCTTTCACTGGGCTTTAAATACCTTGGATCCATCCTAATTCCGAATGGCCAGGCAAAGACGGAAATTGTAACCCGGATAACGACAGCTAAAAATACATTTTTCCGGTTGATGAAATCTTTATGGAACCGTCGCGAAATCACTATAAAGACGAAAATCCGCGTCCATATAGGCATAAAGGCAACGCTCGATCTTAATATATGGCTGCGAAACATTGCCAATGAGAGTGGAACATATTAAGAAGCTATTAGCCTTTGATCACTCAAAATACATTCTACTAGCGATAATGCCGGAGAATCTTGGAGAGGTCTTAGCCTTGTAGCCAGCCAAACCAGTAATGATAAGAGCTGTTAAAAGAAAAAACAAGAATCTTTCAGTACATTAAAGGAAAATTACTTGTCTATTAATCATATCTAGAGTCAGGTTTATTTCAAACGCCCTCTGATCCCTATTTTTAAAATCCTAGCCTCTTAAAAATTTTATGAATCGTAAATTGTTGAAGAATATAAAAATAATCCACTGAAAAATGCTACATAATTAGAAAAATTTTTTCCGAAAATTTTATTTGACATCAATCATATTCTGGTTTTTAATTCTAATTTTTAATTTTTATTTGAATAGATTCCTCGATCTCTTAATGCATTCTTTGGGAATATTTATTGTCACCCAAAGCAAAAAAAATCTTTCTATATTAACAGGGCTTAAACTTTATAAATCTAATTGAAAAAATTTAAATAAATTTCAAGTAATCAATATTCGTTTATTCGAAAAAATAATTTAAAAACAGACGCTTCTTCTTCGTCCATTAAATATTTTTTTAATTTTGAAAGCTTTGGCCCCGATTTTTCTTCTTCTATTAATCTCTTCTTCCCAAAATTGGAAATATAAATGGTGACTGAGAGAATTGCTGAAATAACTTACTCATTGAATCGGTTACAAACGAATATTAATTTTCCATCAAAAAATCTATAAAATCGAAGCTCAATAATATAAAATTTATTTCAAATTTCAATCCAGGAAAAGCAAAAGATTAAGTTGGAATAAATGCCATTTAGATCTGTTTAAATTACATTCTAAAAAAATTTTATTCAGAAGTAAATTAGTGAAATATTTCTTTCATTCTTAAATAACTATTTAAAAAGATTTCAAGTTATATCTTCGAAAGAAAAAACTTACATGCTGGAGGTTGTGGTTTGAATGATTGAAGTAATACAAAAATATCTGAAGCATTAACCTGGTCCCAGTCCATATTACATAACGCTAACCTCTTGGAAATCCAATTCACATGCTTTGCTTCTTTATCCAATTCACCCCAATTGTGCTCCTCTTCGTCATCTTTGCTCTATAAGTGATTATATTAATTATATCATTTAAAAAGAAAAAGAAAAGTAAAAAGTGGGAAAGAAATAAAATTCACATCAAACCCATCATCAGTAACTGAGTCTTCGTCGCTAGATAATATATTTCCTATGCCACGTGCCAAATCCAATTTAATTTTGCTCCCATCAGAATCAGAACCTTGCTCAGACCGTGAATCCTCCATCACCATCTCCATTTTTGTCTTGGGAATATCGCACGAATTGGCCTCGGTTTTTTTCTTTGATCGGAGTTTCTTTAGTACTTCTTCTTCATCATCTGATTCCATCAGATATAAACTATTCAAATCATTTGTAAAACCAAGATTTAAACGACGTCCTCTCATATCCACAGCATTTCTGGCTTGAAACTTCTTACTTTTTAGGGCATCTTTGAACCTAAACAAAATTCAGCTCAACCAAAAATACACCTTAAAAAATTAAACTGATTTTATTTTCGCTATATTAAAGGAACGAGTTGGAATATATTTTCAATATATCTTAAATTAAAAAATTGTGAAAATTTAATAAATTTAACAATTTAATTAATAAAATGAATTTGATTAATAAAATTTAATTCAATTTAATTTAATAAACATGTTAACAAACCTTTCATCAATCACAACTTTTTTTCGCTTAGTAGAGAGTGAATCGAAACGTGGATCACTAAAAATCCCTTCGAAACGATAGTCAACCACATTTCCTTTCGCCTTTTTTTTCATTACTTGAGCACAAACCATTTATTAAAATAAATAATAAAATAAAAAATAAGTGGGATTTAACTGTGATATTAACTGCAAACAATTAATCTAGCAACTGCAAAGATTGAAAAAATTAACAACTGGGTTCCCAACCTATGTACATGGAATCAAGTTCCCAACCTATGTACATGGAAACATTTTTTTGTTCTTTTGAAATATTCTTATTACACTGAACGAAAAAACCACTGAAAATCTTATCAAGATCTTTCAAAGTTATCTGCTGCTTTAGTAAGCACCGAAAACAAGTTCAACGTATTTATCGAATATCTATATTCATATAGCAATTTCGGCAAATAATTTATCTGAACATTGCTTTGAGATATATACTTTCCTGGTTTTTTTAAATTTAATAGTTCATTAGATATCTTTTTGAAAACCACAAATTAAACAAGGCGAATGCGAAAGGTAGTTATTTTTATCCGAATAATATTCCTAATAACATATCAACAACAACAAATACAACACGAAATCCTTTTTTCATTATTACTTCACGTTAAAAATTAAGAATGAATAAATTTTATTTATAAAGTTTGTATATACCGAGAAAACTTTGGTAAACGCTAAATATTTCACCAGGATTCTTACAGCTATGAAGACATTTTATTTTATGGGTACTTTTCGCAATGTGGGAGCAGTTATAGGTGTTTCTATTCCTTCAACAACGATTCTTTTATTTCTATAGGTCGCATATCCATCTTCATCAACAAAAAGATCAACAGCAATAGTCTCCCATATTTTCTTTTTTGGATTAAGAACTGAATCAGGTCGATATCTGAAGCCACGACAAAGAATACGTTGACCCGGCACAGAAGATGAATCGACTTCAAGAATTTCAACATTCTCTACTGTTGAAGCACACATCACCATAGCTTGCGATTCAATACCTCGCATTTTTACTGGTTTCAAATTGCATAAGCAAATCACTAATCTATTCTGCATCTGAAAATAATTCCTTAGATCATTCCCAGTACGAAAAAAATAAAAAAGATTATTTATATTTTTAAGATAAAGTGCCATCATACCATTTCAACTGGCACAAAGCGAACTAAACCAGAGATTACAGTTCTTGGTTTTTCCTCACCAACATCAATTTGTTCTACATAAAGTGCATCAGCATCTGGATGTTTTTCAGCCTTTAAAATGCGTCCAACACGTAAATCTAGACGCCCTATATCAATAGTGTCATCTCCATCTATAAAAATATTGGATAAATTTAAGACTATGTAGATTTTCCTCAAAATCGGGAAAAAAAATAATTTGCGTTAAAGAATGAATAACGATTTATATAGCAAAAAATATATGGCTGACGAAAATAAAGAAATGAATTTAATCAAATCTGGAAAATTTTTTGCCATTTTACCTTTTCTTTCATTCGTTTTGCTCAATTTTTTCGATTTATTACCATTCTCAGCAACTATCACTTTCATAGTTTCCAATGAATCACTTTCCTCCGCTCTTGATTCATTCTCTATCTTATTTTTCGTGTTATTCACTTTGTGGTTTTGTTGTGGGAGAACATCGACAGGCACTTGTTTTACTGAAATTCGATTTTTAGATATTTTAGCTAATATAAAAAACCTTTTTAAAAATTGAAAAATGTGAACTCTGAACTCGTTCTGCAAAAAAATTTTCCAAATGCAAAATTAAATATCAATAAATACCACAGAAAGAAAATAAATAAACGATAATCAAAACTAAGGGTAAAAGTACTTTCAAATTATAAAAAGAGTTAAATTTACTTCCTCCTGCGATTTCAAGTTGAATTAGATGTGACTTCAATTTTTCAACTTCGGCTTGTAAGTTTGTTTTTTTCATTTCCATTTCCGCAAGTTGTGTTCTAATGAATTGCTTTTCTAAAAGATCACTGCAATACTTACATGCAACTTTGAATAGTTCCAAAATTATCATGAAACTTAAAGAAGCAGTTAAAAATTTATTCTTCTTCTAACTCAGCTCTCAGCATCATTGGTTGGGTTGACTCTACTGGCTAAAAGGGTGAAACAACCAAACTATTCGATCTGATGCCATCGTTGACAAAGATAGAAGCCGTTCCTTTTTCCATCATCTAAGTCCACATATAGTTCACCTATATATTGAAAATCTTTCCTGATTGTACCAGTCCAGGTCTTAAATGAAACAGCAGATGATCCATCACAGGATTTAGCAAGTAACGAAATATGCGTCAACTCCTTTGGTGGACGATGGAGAATGTATCCTAACCAGCGAAAAACTTTCTGTGATGGTAAGATTAATGCAGGTGATATATGAGTGGAGGTGGATGCAATTATGACTTTATCCACTCGGCGGTCCCATAAAATGTTAGACATGAGTGGTCAAAGGCAGATAGCTTCTCAATATCCTCCGCTTTCACTGACCATGTAGCAAATTAGAGCTGGACGCGATCTTTCGTTTTTATGGTGATTCTGCGACGGTTCCACGAAGCCTTCGCTAATCGAAAGAAAATATTTCCAGCTATCGTTATCCGGGTTATAATTTCGTCTTTTGCCTGGATATTTGGGATCTGAGTGGATCCAAGATATTTAAAACCGTTCACTTCTTCAACTTCGTCAATGAATTGATAGAAATAAACATTTTATTAGCTAAAAATATACTAAATACCAAATAAATCGATAATAATAGAAATCTGAAATAGGAATAAAATGGAAGCGTTAAGATGTACTAACTTCTTTCCTCAAATTTAATGGAAGCGGTCCTTAATAAAGTTTCAATTTCTTTTTGATTTCCTACCAAACTACTTAATCGACGCATTCTTTCTTTCGACGCATCTATAATTTCGAAATAATTAAATCAAAATTCGAATGAACCCAAAATAGTATTCAAAAAAAAATGAAAAAAATAAGAAGAGAAATAACAAATGGAAAAAAATGAAAAGAATTAATAAAAGACTCTGAAAAAATTCAAACACCATTTAAAAAATTCATTTGAACATTTAAAAATGAACATTTAAAAATCATTATCCATTTATACAATTAAACTGAAAAACAGAAACCATGTGATTGATGAAAATAATTCAATATTTAATTAAAAAAGAATTTAATTATACGTTCAAGAACTCTTACTTTCACTAAAATTTTTGTCCACACTGTTCTCAGAGATTTTCTCTTTGATATCGACAGTTTTCTTCAACTTTTCTTTAAAAGATGTTTCACTGTTTTGTTTGCCGTCGCCAAATCTTTTTTTAAATTTCTCAACGGTGGAATCTTCTATTTTAACAAAGAGTGGTTTCGGCTGAAAAAAAAACAAATATAACCAATACAAAATAATAAAATTCATTTATGATTAATTGATAATACTCAACGAAATCTGCTGGAAAATGATTGCCATGATTCCAAATAAAATTTTTTTCTTATAATTACGAAAAGATTATGAAAAGAAATACAACAAACCAGGCCAATTTTGTGTCCTTCAGGCAAAAACTCAATCGGAATTTCCGGAATTAATGGCAATTCAGGAAGACCACACTGTTCGCGAATTCGACGACTTACATTTGGCATATAAGGATGTAATACAATAGCTAATAAATAAGAAATATTTGCTGCGACACCAACGATTGTACCAGCTCTAAGCCTACAATGAAAATAATGCAAAAGCAAAGTATTATTGATAATATAGCGCTTATCATATAATTTCATAATATTTTAGTCCACTTCATAGCCTCTTCAAAGTCTTTAAATGCTTAGAAGTCGCTTCGTAATATCTTCTTATAATTTTATAATTTATAATTTCATAATTTTCAAAATTTGAAAGGCAATATTTAATAAAAATATATAAATAAAAGAAAAAATTCCAAAGCAATGCTTAATCTAGCGCCTTAGTTTATTTACTATTGTAAATTACGAAGTTACCTACTGAATATTACAAATCTACAAATTATGGAACGAGCCACAAAGAAGAAAAAGGTGAAATATGAATAAACTACGAAATTAATTGAGAGATTAACGATTGATTAACAATTAGAACAGTTAAGAATTATTAATGAAATTAAATTTAAATCAATCCCTTTAAAATTTTTTAGACAGCATAATTCGCACCTCTGTTGTTCATTTCCTTTAATTAATGTCCATGGTTTCATCGACTGCATATAAAGATTTCCACGGCGAGACATCGCTAAAATTTTAGTAATGCCCTCTCGAAGTTTAACAGACGATAGTAAAGCATTATATTCAATCAGATCATTTTCAATTTCATTGATTAATATTATTTCATCATCGGATAATTTCATATTAGGCACAACACCATTGAAAGCAGACGTGATGAATGATAAAGCTCTATTTATGAAATTTCCCAGGTTATTCGATAGTTCTGAATTTACCTGAAATTTTTCTCATTTTAACAATATAAGATAAATAATCACTATCTAATAAAACTATAATTTCTTAGCCAAAAACTGACTTTTAAGGCGAAATCATTCCAGGCAAATGTAGTGTCCTGTGTTTCGGGTCGCATATACAATAAGTAAAACCTCCATATATCAGCTTCAATACCTGTTTCTTTTGCCATATCACCAAATACACCAGTTCCGCGAGACCTTAAACATATTCGAATATAATATAATATTCGAATATACTATTTTATTGAATATATTGAATATTGTATATTGAAAATCCTACGAAAAAAATGAGAGCAAATTTGAAAACTAACTTGCTAAATTTTGTATTTTCATAATTCAGATGTTCTGTAGCACACAAATGATTAACCAACGTAAAATTATTACCCGTGGCAATTAAACAAGCAGGAAACATGACTGAATGAAAAGCAACATTATCCTAAAAATCGACTGATTTTTTAAACCGATAAGTTTTCTTCGCAAAACTATCATACCGAAATTAAACAGAAATATCGAAATACCTTCCCAACAAAATTGTACAACTCAACATTGGCAGGATTTTTCCACCAATGAACCCATTTATCACCTAGTAGTTCTTTTGTTATCGATATATAACCTATAGGCGCATCGAACCATACATAAAAAACCTATAAAAGAAGCAGATATTCATGAAAAAGGAAAGAATAAATATTTTAGAAAATATTTTAGAAAATTAACTTTATCAGCAAAATCTGGAAGTGGAACCGGAATTCCCCATTTCATATCTCTCGTAATGCATCGCTTCTCAAGACCACCTTTTATCCAACTTTTTGCAATCGATATCGCATTTGTAGACCATTTACTATTTTTGTCATTTATAACATTATTTAAATGTTTTTCCACATCATCCTGAAAAAATAAAAAATTGAATATATTGTGCCTTCGTTAATAATGACAACTTTTAGCAATTTTAGTTTTCAGTAGAAGAAGAGATTGCATTATAGGATTAAAAATAAGAATTCAAAAATAAGATCAATTAAAAAAGTAGAAAAGAATAAAAATATACAGAAAGTAAATCAAGTCGAACAAATATATGTTTTGATGGCTTAACAATAGGAGCTAAATTGCAGATTTGACATCTTGGATTAATTAACTCCACTGCATTTATTAATTTACCGCATCCATCACATTGATCGCCACGAGCATCGTCAAAATGGCACATTGGGCATTCACCGTGTACATATCGATCTGCCAAAAATCTAATAATTGCATTTATTATCATGAATATAAATAAAGCAAAAAAAAAAATTCGAAAACACTTTAATCAGCTTACCTTTTACAGTTTCCGCAGAATAATTGATCTAATGTAGCAATTGATGTATATCCATTTTCAAAAATATTCAGAAAAATCTCTTGTGTAAGTCTGAATAATCTATTTTAATTTTCAAGTTACAAAATTTTGAATTAGAATCGCAGATTTCCCAATAAAGTGCGAAATAAAAACGATCAAAATATTTATAATTTAAATGTATAAATGGATATATACACCATTATAAATGTAAACACCACTTTTCAAATATATCATCTTTTCAAAGATTTTATTTAATAGACTGTGCATAAATTATTAAAAGTTAATCATCTTACTCAGTCTGATGTTCTGTTGTGGTTCTTCCAAAGTTATCGAATTCAATATTAAACCACTCATAAATAGCTTTATGAATTAAGAAATATTTGTCACAGATTTCTTTCGGTGCCACGTTTTCTTGAAGCGCTTTAGTTTCAGTTGCTGTTCCATATTCATCGGTACCACATATAAATAAACAATTGAAGTCTTTCTGCCGACAATACCTAGAAATCAGCTACTGAATGTTTAGCAATTGTTTTATTGCTAAAAAACAAGATGATATGATAAATAACTTATCTTAATTACCGATTCTACCTATCAGCAACTGCACAGAAGATCGGACTCAATCTTTTCATCGTATGCACAAGAAGCTGATAAAATGCCTCTTTTTATAAATTTATTGTCAATTGAAGTGCGCAATTTTAAATACCTTGGATCCACTCTAATCCCAATAGCTAAGCAAAAGATGTTGGAAATGAGTTTTTTCGATTGACGAAACCGTCGCCAAATCACCATAAAAACGAAAGTGTGCATCTGTATAGCCGTGATTAGTTCAATCTTGCAATATGGTTCTAAGATTCGTTCGATCTTGCTATATAATTCTACATAGCGAGTGAGAGTGGAGGATATTAAGAAGTTATCTGCTTTTGACCACTCTTATCTAAGATACATTTAACGGATCTGTCGAGCGGACAAAATATCGCATGATCGGCATCCACCTTCGTTCAAATACCACTTGCATTAGTAATGTTATCACAGAGCGTTGCTTTCGCTGGTTAGGACACATTCTCCGTCGCCCAGCACAGGAGTTGACGCATATTTCGCTACTTGAGGGATGGGTGGCAACAAAAGCGAGGTGGTCCAATCAAGATCTGGACTGATATAATCAGAAAAGATTTTGAGCATATAGGTGGACCACCAATATATGGACTTAGACGATTGAAAAAGGAATGGCTTCTACTAGTATCGACGATGGCATCAGACCGCCGCTTGGAAACGCCCTACCCTTGTAACCAGTGGAGCCAGCCTAACCATTAATGGTGAGAATTGTTAGTAGAAAAGGAAGATCTATTATACCATATATTTTTCACTATGGAACATTTAACATTAACTCGAAAAAACCAGTGCATTCATGCAATTATATGCAAGAATTACCAAACTATGAGATAAATAACTTGCGATAAATAAAAATTAGAATTACCTTGCAAAAACATCAGCGCTTAAAACACATCCAATAATATTTCCCAAATGTGGAACATTATTGACATAAGGAAGAGCGGAGGTAATTAGAATATTCGTTTCACCAACGACTGGTAAGCTTAAATTCACATAAATTAGATGATAAATTATAACAGTGCTAAATAAAAAAACGAAAAACAAATAACTATGATTTACATTTTTGTCTTATCGACTTTTCGTACGAATTTCGGCGAATTTTTCCAATTTTTCCGCATTTTTTCTTTCAAAACCTAAAACAACAATCGAATAGAAAAAATTGCTAACAAATAAGCGCAAAAAGAATTTTAAAAGGCCAAAATCAAAAGAGAAAATTTTGCTGTTCATTAATATATATAACGCCATATAACATAAAAAATCGAGAAAACATTTATTTTTAGGTTAAATTCTTAGACTTTCACATTAAAACTTTAATGAACCAAAGAATTCGTCGAGGCCCCGAAAAAAATTTCCAATTTTTCAGCCACCCATTCATTACACATCGAAGATGTCAATTCACATATATTTACAGTAAAAATGTAATCGTTTTAAGACCTTACTTCACGGCTAATTACAGCGCGATATTGAAAGTAGTCATATTTCAAGTCTCATTTCGTATAAGTTTGTGCCTATTGTTTTGTCTAATTTGGAGTGTGGAGTGTTCGTTGAAAAAAGAGGGCGATTGTGGCCACAAACTGAGAATTCGGCGCCTCGAAGGCCAATGGATATCCGCGTCGATCGATTCTCAGATTTCGCATTCTTTTTTAAAATTTGAATTTGTTAAAATATTTAAAATATTTGACTAAAATATTGTTCGTTTTATTTATTTTTATAGCTTTTATAAAGCTTTTTCTTTGTTTTTTCTGATTTTAACGATTTTCTTTACTGCTAATTTTTTATTTTAAGGCATTTACATAAGAAATGCGTACCACAAATAATTTTCCCTGAAACGTGAATTTTATAGAAATTGCGTCACGTCACACGTGTTTTACGAGTTTTTACGAGATAATTATTAGAAAGAAAATTTCGAACTAATCATCACTTTTACGTCTGATTTTTTCGCTATTTTTTCGGCTCTTTTTGGTTCTTTAAAATTTCTTTGTGATTTTTGCGAATTATTCGCTCGTAATTTCTAAATGATTATCGATTAATTTAAAATTTCAGATTAATGATAATTTCATTATAAAATTTCTTTTATAAATGAAATGACTGGAATTCGTTTATTTTCGCGTTTTATTTATACGTCAATTGGTATAAATTCCATAAAAATTCCATTTGCTATAAAGGTTTAATTTAAATTTCTTTTTTATTTATTTAGATTATTATGAATCAAATTAAATTGTTTATCAATTTTATCAATTTGTTTGAATATCTTTCTTAGAAATTTCTTTTCTTCTTTTCTTATAAATTAAATAATTATTTAAATTAATGAGGTTTTTTAGCTAAACAAGTTGACAAGTGGTTAGACTGCTCTATTGTCAGTAAGGAGTTTTACTAGGAGGGTTATAGGGGTATAGCTGTGCTGGTTAGGTAGGTGGGCATCACCCATGTTTTTTAATGTTTGCGAGCTTCTGCCGAGAACGCTATCGCCGACTGACCTCTCCTATCTCTCCTATCTGCAAGTCGATTATTCAATAATTTTTAATTGAATTTATTTAATTAAATTAAATACTAGTGGTTATTTATTTATTTCAGCATATGCATTATTATATGTTTAATATTTTAATAGAATTTATTTATTTATTTTTAACGTTGCTCTTGACAGAAATTTGTTTTATTTAAATTTATAGTTTTAGCGTGAGCCAACAGATCTTTTAAAAGCATTAGCTGAAACTATCGATGTCGATACAACAGCTCCACACTATTCACTCATCGATGATCCAGCATTAATTCCCACCAGTCAGCCATCGAAACGAAATTTTTATCTTGCAAAGGTTTTTTTGTCTTCATTTTGGAAAATATGCGAGTACTTTTGAATCAGTGTTTCTGTCTCATTAAGCCACAAATTTCACGAATAGGTTCCATTTGAGCTACCAAAGTTGTTTAGTTGTTTTCTTATTTATTTATCAAGCAACTATCGACAGAGCTAAAAGTATCTTACTTCTAAATAGTAAAGATGATGTAAAATATCCTCTTTTAATAAAACAATTCATTTTACTTCTTGATATAGTTCTTGATATACGGTGTGTATTTTTAGTCTGGTTTTTGGACTCATCTTTTTCATAATTTTTAGGAGATGGGAAGAAAAATAGCTCGTCAGCTTGCTGAAGAATGGCCAACTTTATTTATGTACGATTTAGACGAGCCAAGATTGCCTGTTTTTCGACCCGAGAAACGTGCAGATCCAGTAGAAATTGAACCGACTATTAAAAATTTGCAAAAATTTATTGAAAAAAAGGAAGTGCTTAGTGCTATTCAATTATATGAAAGAATGCGTTCTGTCAGCATAGAAGTCTCGAAGTCTATTCAGGTAATTTGACATATCTTATATAACATAATATCAAACAGTTATTTCGGCTATAACAAATATCTTTGGCAAGCTCTTTTCACAAGCAGTGCTATGTCAAAAGTTGAACTGGTGAGATTTCAGCGATATTGTCTCGTCAAGACATCTTCACCTGGAGAAAACTGAGTTTGCTCAATTTTTGATTGTCGAAGCTTGATAAAATATATAAAAATTAATATCAATATAATATAATTAATATAAAAATATTAATATTAATATTAATATTTATATAAAAATTAATATTAATTAACTAATTAATATTAAAATTATATTAATTAATTAATATAATTAATTTTAATTAATTAAAATTAATTAATTAAAATTAATATTAATTATTAATTAATATTTTAATTAAAAATTAAAATTAATTAATTAATATTAAAATTTAATATTTAATATATTTATAATGTTTTTATAAAGATGGATCTCTTTCGTATGCTTGCTTACTATAATGAATCTGATATACCGGACGCTGAAATCGAAGAATGGCACGGTGCTAGAAATTTTGGAAATTCTGAGAAAGAATCATCAGTTAAATGGAAGGTTATTATTGCTTGTTATGAATAATATCTAAATGTGTTCAAGTTCTTGTATATCCGCAAATAAAGTGTGGTTAAAAAATATAAATTTGTTTTATATATAATTATTTATCTATAGGGTCAAATAGCAGAACTATTATTCGAAGAACTCGAATGTAGTGATGAAACATATTCGATAATGATCGCTGGGTTATCCAAGTTTCCTACCAGTGCATCGATTTCGCGTGCCAAGCTACTTTTTGATGTTGGTCTTTGCTATTATTGGTCCTTATTGTTCATTACTATATTTTTTAAATTAGCACATTGTTCTGTTGAATTTTGGAGCTAACTTTTATTTTATTGAAAGATAAAATTGTTTAGGAAATGAAAAGTAAGCAAATGAAGCCAATGGTTGAAGCATTTTGTGGATTAATTAGAAATGCTGATTCGTTGACTGAAGCCGAAAGTTACTTAAACTCGATGGTTGAAATGAGAGTTCGACCTACAATAATTATTTTTAATGAGCTGATGACACTAGTCAATAAAGTAAAATATTTTTATAGAAATTGTTTTAATGCAAGTTTTTATCGTTTTTATCGTCTATTTTATTATTTTTTAAAATTATTTATTTAATATTTTTTTAATACATTTTAATATAAATTGCGAAAAAATTTGAATTGAAGGAACATAATATGGAGAATCGTTATGAAAAAATTATGAAAATTTTACGAGAAGCGATAAAAGTTGGATGCAAACCAAATTTACGAACTTATACCAATGTCCTGAATATTTTTCGATTGAAAAGCGCATACGAAAAGGTCAATTATACCATAATTGTAAAATTGTTATAATTGAAGATATTATAATTTAATATTATAAATTGAAGATATTATAAGTGTTTGGGCGAGGTTGTTTCTTAGAATTAATTTCCACTGTTTTCTAAATTGCTACTTTATTTCTTCTTCTTCTTCTTCTAACAACTCTCACCATTACTGGTTAGGTTGGCTTCAACGGCTACAAACGTAAGACGCTTCCAAGGTTTCCAAGGTCTGATGCCATCGTCGACACTAATAGAAGCCATTCCTCTTTCCATCGTGGTCCCTCTATATGTTCAAAATCTTTCCTGATTGTATCAGTTCAGGTCTTGATTGGTCCAGCTCGCTTTTGCCGCCAACCATCACACAATTTAGCAAGTAACGAAATATGCGCCAACTCCTGTGGTAACGGTGGAGAACGTGCCCTAACCAGCGAAGGCGACGCTCTGTGATAACATTACTTATGCAAGTGGTATTTGAATGGAGATGTATGCGATGGATGCAATCATGTGATATTTTTCCGCTCGACCCGTAAAATATACCTTAGACAAAAATGGTCAAAGGTAGATAGATTCTTAATATCCTCCACTTTCAGCGTATTCAAGATCTGTGATACGATGCGCTGGACTGATTTGGACAACCCTTGAGTGCTGACAAGCAGTGTCCATTATCCAGTCTATCGCATAGTTGAATACTGTAGAGGAAAGGACGCAGCCTTGACGGACACGCTCTTATTTGGAAGGAGTCTGCCAGTTCCTCATATACTCAGACCTGCGCCGAAGTACGCTCATAAAATGCCTTTATGAGTCGAATGATCTTCTATGGAACACCTTCGCATTCCATCATTCTCTAAAGGGCGTTCTTCTTCTTCTTCTAACAGCTCTCACCATTACTGGTTAGGCTGGCTCCAACGGCTATAAGGGTAAGACGCTTCCAAGCGACGCGGTCTGATGCCGTCATCGACAGTAATGGAAGCCATTCCTTTTTCCATCGTCTAAGTCCATATATTGCTGGTTCAAAATCTTTTCTCACCGTATCACTCCAGGTCTTGATTGGCTCACCTCGCTTTTGACGCCAACCGTCACACGGTTTAGCAAATAACGAAATATGCGTCAATTCGTGTGGTGGACGACGGAAAATGAAAGAGCCTTTCTATCAATTGAATCAAAGGTAGCCGCAAAATCGATGAAACACATAGTAGGTTGGAAATATCTGAAGTGATGTTCCAACACTCTTCTTAACATGAATATCTGATCAGCACAACTGCGCCTCGGTCTGAATTCAGCTTGATTAGGGAGGCATCCTGCTGTCTCGTACTTCCATGAATCTGTTGAGTAAAAAGGAAGGAAAAATTTTCGCTGAGACGTCTAGTTGGCTGATTCCTCTACAATTGTCGCAATATGTTCTATCACCTTTCTTGAGAATTGGGAGCAGAATTACTTTGCTCCGATCATCTGGTAATATTTATTTTTTCCATACCAAAGAGTATATATGTTGAAGTTGCGTTATGAATATCGATAGACAACATTTTAAAAGCTCAGCCCAAAGACCATTTTTTCCCGGAGTCTTATTGGCCTTAAGCTTATGGATATTATTATTTCTTCGGAAATTATTTCTTCTTCTGTTGAAGGCTCGCAATTGAAAGCGTATGCTTCGGCAAATATATCAGCCATATCAGGGTAATAGATGGCGCTTCATGGTTTGGCCTCAAAGAATTCTTTCCATCTTATGAGGCGATCCTTAATACTTTTGATTAATACGCTATTGCTGTCTCTTACCATTTCACTAAATCGTTTACCGAGTTGCTCTATGAAGAAGGCGGAATAGTTTCCTATTATCGTCTAATCGAGCTGCCGTCTCCATCAAGACCATGTCACTCCAATAGTGATTCCTGTCCCGCCTTGCTGCTTTCGTTAAAAATCTTCGAAGCATCCGATGGTCAGGATCACCTAACATTCGTGTTTTGGCAGCTTTTTCAGACATTTGCTTTCGCTACCCAACCTACTAGTATGCTCTAGCGTGGAAGAAGCTGACTTTCGGGGACATTCCTTTAATTTGGACCAGTATTTATTTGCCGTTCCAGAAAAATCATTGATATTTGTATCATTGAGATGCTTCAATAATTCAGTTTGAAATGCTCTCATTGTCACCGAATGTTTTAGTTTGAAATAATTGAAGGATCTTGAGGGATGCCTGTTTTTTGCCAATTGTCAATTTTATGCGGATCTTGGCTCGAACCATAACATGGTCAGATCCATGAAGATTGCCCGTTTCAGCTCCGCAATAGGAACGACTATCTAGTATAAAACTAACTCTTCCAACCGCTATTGACTAAGATATAATCAATCTGGTTGAAGTGTTGGTTAGTTCTCCTTGGAGTTCCACATGACTAGATGTTTTCTATTATGCCAGAAGCAAGTATTGACAACAAAAAGTTCATGCTCTTTGGTGTAACGAAGAACGCATTTTCCATTGGCGCACCGATCTTCAATGCCATATTTGCCAATTGTTGAGGTCATCGCAGCTGCATTTATGACCTACGCGAGCATTCCAGTCTCCCCCCGATTATAGTCATGTCATGTTTCGGTAGAGAATTTGTTAGCAGTTGAAGTTCCGCATAGAACTTATTCCCCGTTATCTGCGGACAGAGTTGGAGTCATAGATAGTGATGACCGAGATATTGCAGTACTTACCCTTAAAACGGGCATAGGCCATATGGTCGTTTACGGGTTTCCACTTAGTCAAAGCGAAATGGACCTTGTCAGACATGACAATCGCTACGCCATTTCGTACCGAGTTATTCGAAGCACCACAGTGATATAGTCAGTATCTCTGCTCCGAATCAGGGTTAATAATTACTGGAGACCGGAAGTGAGGAAGACCGACCTCCGACAGGTCAGCGATATCATATGATATTTAGAAAGAGTGTGGACAGTGATCGTTTAATTTGCAACGTCCATAAGTTCTGACATTCCACGCTGATACGGCTAATTCCTCGCCGCGCGTGCAGAAGGCTGTTCGCCTTGATAGATTTCAAGTATTTATGAGCATATTTTATTTACCAGCCTTGAGATCCGGATTGTATACTTATCGCATGTACCACCGTGCTGGGAGTATCATATACGGCGGGAGACGCAAACGCCGTATCAAGAATACCTGACCCTTTCACCTTAGAGTCACTTGGGGATAGAGTTACAGGTGGATTTCCATCAACCACCCGGATTTTTGACATGACAGGTTTGCTCCTGTCAAAGATACATAATTTATATTATTATAACAATACTTTATATTATTTTATAATATTATTATAAATTTTATATATATATTTACATTTATTTATTTCAATTCTTTGTTTTTTTTAAATTTAGGAAAAAGAAAAAAAAAAGAAAAAAAGAAAACAAAAAAGACTTAGCTCGTAGTTCGAAGATTATAGAAAATTGTAGAAAATATTCCGAAAAAATAATTGCAAAGGAATAACGATACAATCGCTCAAGATCAAACCATATATCTCAACTTCCTTTATTCAACTTACTTATAAATTATTAACTCATTCTTTTTAATTATTTTAGTTTATTTAAATTTTGATTTCTTCACTATTATTAGGCAGATTCCAATAATTCTTAAATTATTTTTGTAAAAAATAATTGGTTTAATTTTCGATTCAATTTTTTAAATTCTTAAGTTTTCTTTTTTAATTTTTTTCAGATTATAATTTTATTTGGCTCTTATTCTTCTAATGGTTTAGTCCTAAAAATTACTGGCATTTAGTGCAAAAAAAATTTTATTGTTTTGCAGAATTTTTAATTTAACTATTTTGTTTATTTTTTTTTTGGAAATTTACCATTTATTATTTTTTTTAGAAGCTAGCCCTTTCGATTTTGGTGCAAATTCTGGCTGAATTGGAATCTCGAACATCAATCGAACCTATAGAACCTAATGAGCAAACATTTTTCATTGATGCCATGGATATTGCTGCGGCAGCAAATAATTTGAATATTGCTGAACGCATTGAAGCTCTATACTGTTCCAAAGTCAACAAGACTCACTTGGCATCATTTGTAGATGAACATAAGTAACATTACCTCTAATTTTTTGATACTTTATTTTTATAGTATTTCTTTGATAAATTATTTATTTTTAATGCATTTAAATAAGCGCAAATTCTTTAAATATTATTTAGATTTTTTAAACATCTTATTCTCATTAAAGATTCTATCTTCGATTCCTGGTTTTATCTATGAACAATTTATCAATCGAGCAACTAGAAAAAAGATATATTTCACTAGTGCCGCGGATTGTAGGCACAACGGATTTTCTTTTCATTGAGATGCTGGATTTGTTACTGGTATTGGCTTCTATTCATTTTAGAAAAAGCATTTTAATTTTTTAGTTTAGAAATTAAGTTATAAATTTGAAATAAATTTAATATAATTTTTCCAAATAGTTTATTTTCATTCGTAAAAATATTTCCTTTTAAAAGTTTTTTCTGTCAGCTTTTAACTACTTTGCCCTGTTATTTATTAGAATTTTATTAGAATTTTTTCCGTTTTAATTCTTTGTTTTTAAATTAATTATGATGTTCTAGGTTGAGATTTTTGTTAAGATTCCTCAAAATTTTTCCTTGCACAAAAATTTTTATCAAGTTATTTCGCAGAAAAAATCTAATTGGTCGCTCACTCGTCGTGTAATTGAAGATGCACTAGCATCCCGAATGCTTACACATTTTCCAATCGTTGCAAGGATTCTGAAAGTCCTTTTATCAGTCGACAGAAATGTAATTTGAACAGTTTCTATTAAGTTTTATCCTTTAAAACAAATTTTTTTAGAATGCATTGTTTTAAATATATTTTAAAATTTTATATGCTTCATTCAATTGCGAAACCACGAAAAATCAAACGTTAAATTTTAAATTTTGAATTTTAAAAATTTAAATTTTTATGGTCTTGCAAATTTATAAAATCATTTTATAAAAAATCATTCATGAATTTTATAAAAAATTGATTTCAGATTTTGTCTCCGGATCATTTTAAAGAGTATACGGCAATAATCGAAAAAATTGTTAAAGCTAGGCTTGATTACAGCCAACATCCAATTAAATTTAAGAGATTGAAATTTATGCCCAGTGAAGTAATTCTTTTTTTCTCTTTGAAAATCTTCATTTAAATTTTATTTTTTTTATTGAAATGTGTTTTTTCCCATTTTCATATGTTTTCATATGCTGTTTAGAGTCAAATTTCAAGGAAATGAAGTTTTAATTAAATTTAAAAGATCGAGAAATTTACCTGTCTAATCTGGTTTTAAAATTTTCAATTTTTAATCATTGGTTCTAAGGAAAATCGAAAATATAAAATATTCACCATAATAAAATATTTTTTTTCGATAGGATATTGGCCGTATCACCTTTTAGTTATATTCTTTAGATTATTAATTTCACGCTGTTATTGATAAAAGCTGGTCAGGATGAAAAAGGGTGGGATTTATTGAATTTGCTAGTGGATTCTGACGTAAAAGATGATGATTCTTGTATCAATAAAGGTATTATTCGTTCTTGGTTGATTCCATCTAAATTTTACAAAACTTATAAATACATTGGTCACTTTTCATTTTTGCGTTATTGGAAATATTTTTAAAATTATATAGATATTCCAGGATACATTACAATTTCAACTTTGCGACCATTATTGAAGGAAATTCTTTGTCGTGGTGATTGGTTTCATGCGTGCCACTGTTTGCAGATAATGGCTGAATATATTCCGCAGGAACCACTGGAGCCTCATGTAGAAGAAGTTATACAGAAATGCAAATTAACTTCTCTTCAAGAGAAAATTTTGCGTAATTTTATAAAATCTCAATTATAATTTTAATCGCCAGGTAATTTAACAATAAATGTGTTAAATACCCATTGTGTTCACAACGTTTTTTTGCAAGTCGATAATTTATCTAATTTTTTAAATTCTAAAAAAATATAGCAAATTTATAATAAGCTTAGGCTTAGAGAGGAACTAAGAGAATTTATTATTAATTTTTTTAATTTATTAATTTTTACTTATTAATTTTCTTGAAGATCGTTTAATGGTACATTTATCATTAGAAGTGCGAGAAAGATATCAAATAAGCGTCCTTTGCAGTTAAAAGTTAAATTTGATACTTGTCAGTGAAGTTTTTTTTATAAACTTTTACAAGAGGAAAATTTATGCCTCTGCTTTGAATTGTAAAATTATCTTAAAATTCCCTTTTCTTTATTGATCAATAAAATACAAGTTTGATAAGCATCAATTTTTGTCTCATTGAAAATATTTTGTTATTTTAGCTTTTCATGTGGTCAAAGCATTAATATTGATGAATAATAATAAATATAAGTAATATTAATAGTTAAATTGTAATAATTTTATAACATTAATCAATGATTTATTACTGGTGAGCTAAAGGTGAATTACAAAAAAGATTTTCTCACATTTCCTCACCTGGGATTTGATACATCGATTTTGTTCATCATTTAATTTATTTTTTTCCCTTAATAATTCCCATCATTTATTCATTTGATTTTATTCCAATAAATATTTTCGTTACGAAGGAAGGTATGTAAATTTTCTTCACAAAAATTATGATTACGATAATCTATAACTGATAATTTAGATTTAACTAGAAAAAGAGTAAGAGAATTTGAATTTGATTTAAATTTTAATCGCTAATTAATAAATTTATAGGGAAATAATAGAAAATAAGTTTTGCGTTAACTTACATTTAATGATTTTATAAATAAAAATGATTTAATGATTTTTTTCTTCGCGTGACAGCATTTCTTCCTTCGACTGGTTATTGTATCACTGGTTATAAGAAAGTTGGAGATAGAAATAGAGTAGTTTTTCGGAACCACTCAGATTTTGCTTTGATTATGCAGAATTTACTCCTGTTAAGACGTATGATTTGGCCTTAGTCAAAACATTGTTCAACCAGAGATATTTGTAAAAAAAAAAACTTAGTAGATCTTTTTCTCTTCTGAAACGTTTCGTTCTCAGACATATATAGAACCAGTTTAATGGACTACAGTTTAATGAACTGCCAGTCTTCATATACAATGAGATGGTTAAAGGGAGGCTGCCGACGTGAAGATCCGGATATTCTTCACAATGCAAAGAAATTTCTAACACTTCTAACTCTGACTCAAAGACTCTGACTCTGACTCTGATAAGGCCAAGACAACCATCTTGAATGAAACCCGATATATTCAGGTATACATCAATAAGACATCATGACACCAAAGGATGAGCGAATGCCTAACACTGGAGAAAGACCAAACAGAAAAAGTGCAATGGCAAAGCAAGTCCTTCATTGGGACCATCGACAGATTGAAAGTAGCTGACATATACCATCGACAGATTGAAAGTAGCTGATATTAAAAAATTATATTAGAGATTGGAAAAATTTAGACAACTGAGATATTGGCTATATCAGGAATGGGTACTTGGCACTAAATCCATCGAAGCAGTGATCTACTATTACATACAAGACTCAAGGAGGACGAGCAGAAAAGCCTCAGAAATAATATAAAGTGGCAGGATGTAAGATGCGGGCAAAACACTGAAAAGCATAACGAAGTAGCTTGTAGAAGTTGCCTATAGGAATATCTTAGTGGTTATCTTCCCAATTATAAGAACAAAATTCTGTGAGACCTAGAAATTTGCCAATCAACCAGACTGATGATAGATAACAAGATCAAGTAAAAGGAATATTAGGATGAAGGAATAAGCTAGAAATTACCAGGGTTGAAAAAGGTAGAAAAGATGTGGAAAATGAAGGCCAAAGAAATCCTAATGATAAGAGCATGCGGTTCTTAAACCAGGAAAGTGATCTCAACAGATTCCAGGAATAGAGATTTCTGTCCAGAAGAGCAAACTGGTAACTGAACAGATAAGGCATCTGAGCTGCGAAGAACCCTCAGTATCTCAGGCTTCTGTTAGAGAACCCGAGGTTGAAGATGACCCCAGCCATCCGAAGGACTGAAAAAGGGCTTTTTGTTTTTGTCATATGATTTAATTTAATATATACATAATTTTTTAAAAAAATCATTTGCATGAGAATCTGGATTTTATAGAAACAAAACAAATCGAATTTCATCGAAATCCAAATTGAAAAGAAGCAAAACTTATAGTAATACCTTTGCTTATAACGGTATAAGTAATCTTTGCCAATACAGACAGAACCATCTTCAAACCTGAATATATGCACGAACATAAATTTAATCAAAATTTACACCATAATACGATAAGCGGAAAAAATCAGTGCGACTCGAACAGCGTCGAAAATTTTATGAAAAGAGGAATTGAAGTGGTGTTTTGTGCAAATAGGGATCGAACAATGGTAGGGACATGTATTTGCAATGTATTCATAACGGTTATGTTTACATTTTTGCATGTAAAATGATCATGAAATTATTGATCTACGATACTAATCATTCCTGGTTAAGTTCGCCCCACTTAGCAGTTAGGACACGGCTGTTTTGGAGAAGCGTCACTGTGGAGCAGAAGTGTAGTTAGCACCGCACGTATTCGACATTTGGTGACCGGTTCACGGCCATGCTTCAACTTAGAATCTAAAAAATATAGCACACGCTGCTAGCGACCATAAAAATTTCATAGTTTTTTCACTTTAGTGTAATTCTGTGGAAGAATTTTTGCGATGAATTTATATGAACGAAAAAATTTTTTATTTTGTGATTCGCCACGATTTGATTATTTGTTTCGCTTTTAATCCTTTCACTCACTGTGCATTTATGATAAGCGTTAAGCGAACAAATCGAATCCACTTTTTTATTTTTTTCTAAATTTCTTTTAGCTAAATTCATTACTTTTTCGCTACCCTTATCTGTGCAGTGAACGATCTTTTGGAGCTTTTGAACTGACAGAAGCGGTCAGCAGAAATAATTTTTCTAATCTTTACTGTATCGTTCATTGGCTTCGTCCAAGGCCTAATCGTGCACTGAAACGCATAGCGCCAGTTGGTAGTTGTTGGTCCACATATGGTTGTATCATTGATATTTTTCCTCTTGCATTATGTTTATTAAATTAACAACCATAAGCTTAAAGGATAATATAGGAAAAAAGTTTTTTATTGCTACCTTATAAATAAAAAAGTAAATAAATGGTTACCATTCACCATTCCTAGTTTACTCGCTTCATTGGCTATTAGATTAGAGGCACAGGGAGTCAGGGAGTCACAGAGTCAATTATAGATAGAATTATAGGCAATTCCCCAGATGAACTGTGCTGCTTGAAATGTTCAGTCATATTGCGCGAAAAGCCATAAAGTCATTGAAGATTGATTTCAAGTCTAATATATTTAATTAGCGTAGATTCATTATGAATTTGTTAGACACTATTACACTATTATCAGATTATTTTTTTAATTTTTTAATCCTAAAACCTGAGAGCGATTAAATGGAACCTATTTGAATACATTGTTTATTAAGCTTTAATAGAGTTGAGGGGAAGGAACTGAACCTATGGTTGTTTGACATTTTTCGAAAAAATTAAAATCAAAATATGCAGAGAATCAGAATAAAGGACCATTTATTATATATTTTTTCTTAGTTCATTTTTATCAATTTATATTTATAGGCTCAATATTTATTGAAATGTATCGCTGAATAGTCCTGGAAACTAGGTTTTTCTAAATGTGGGATGACCTTCGCCTATAATTTTTATTATTTCCTGCTTCGAGTTGCAATTTATTTTGAAATCTTTTGAGAGGAACTTAAGTTTTGTTATGGAATACTTCTAGAATGAATGAACCTTTCTACCATTTCACACTTGACCACCTCTACAAGAATTGGCCGTTTTTCATTTCGATTCGTTGCGATTTTCATTTGAATATGGTCCTTTTATTTTACAAAATTTTACATTTCGTCACCCCCATTTTCTTTCGATTCTAAATTTTTATATTTGATCATTTTCTATTTTTTTCGTCCTTTTTTGGATAAATTTTTTTTCTGCCTTTAGGTAGGAATGCATGTTAACTTCATTATTCATTATTTTTCTTCTAGGGAAAATTTCTCCTCATAAAGTCTTTTCTCCTTTCTCCTTTTTCCTTCCATTTTTACCTATTTTTATTTTTCGATATTTTCTTCTTTTATTTTTACATTTTTTATATTTTTCTTAAATTTTTGATTTAATAAAGTCTTAAATTTAATTTCACAAATTAAAAGACCCCCTATCATGCCAAATTGATTAGAAGAATGGTGATTCGTTTTATTATTATTTTTTTGTTATTATTTTGTTATTATTATTAGCATTTCGTTATTATAATTCTTCTTACTCTGCTGGGCATAATTCATGAATGCATTCAGTCACATAGAAAACCGACGAATTGTCCCAAAAGTCATTAAATTAATAATCGAAATGCCTTAAACGAAAAAAATTGACAAGATTTCCCTAAGGCTTGACCTTTGTATAATAAATATAACGCAAAAAACTTGAATTTTCCATTAAATATGTGATAAATTCAACCTAATGCAAAAATAATTCCATTTTTAAATACATAACGCATAGACCGAAGCGCATTGAGGATGCGTTGATTCGTCTAACTCCACGCTTATGACTTCTCATCAGTTCCCTTGAGAATTTAAGAATAGAATTGACTGGCAACTTAATCTATTACTTTATTCATGAATATACATGGAAGAAGAAATTATCCACCACGATTTTAATTCATTATCTCAAAAATATTCTCGGGTGATGCCCTCTAATTTTATCTCCATTTTCTAATGGAGGAGTCTAGCTTCATAACCAGTAACCTAAGGAGTGCTGTTTGAAGAGGAAAATTATTCATTTCGACCAAATTGCCACATTTTCTTCATTCT